ATATTTATATATATATATCTATATCTATCAATCATCTTTCTACCTTTACAGCTGACTCTTGAACAATGTAGGGGTTAAGGATGCAGATGCCCCCATAAGTAAAAAATTTATATATAACTTTTGACTCTCCCAAAACTTAACTACTAGTAGTCTACTGCTGACTGGAAACCTTATAAATAACATGAATGGTTCATTAACAAATACTTTGTATATTATAAACCATATTTTACAGTAAAGTAAGGCATAGAAAATAAAATGTTAAAGGAAAAATACATTACATCACTGTATTGATTTTCTAATATATATATTGAAAATTACCTGTGTATAAATGGGCCTATACATATGTGTGTGTGTTTGTGTGTGTGTATGTATATGTGTGTATGTGTATGTGTATGTATTTGTATCTATCCATGTTAAGCGTATGTAAGTTCTGCTTGTATTATTATTATTATTATTATAAAAGGTACAAAGAAAGCCTTTATACAAATATCCTGACATCTTTGTGTATCTTACTATAGCTTAAAATATTTTCACAGGCATTTGTTAACATAATATTACCTAATAGTTTTTGAAATAGGAATGTGATGGAATTCAAGACTAAAACTTTGCTTTAGTTTTGAATGCAATGAAACCAAGACCTAAATTATAAAAGGGGGTCCTTTACATCAGCATTCACTTCTCTACCCATCTTCATGGGGAAGCATGTTTCAAAGCCCACTAAATTATGTAAAAATGAGCATTAGCACTACCACAGAAAGTTAATACAAAAAGGAAGGAAGAAATGGAAGGAAAGAGGGATTAATACCTTATCACCACCACCCCAGTTCTTATTACCCTACCTTCTTTACTACTCTCGGTTCAAACTTATTAGGAAAATATTGTATTACTCTTTATATCTTAGCTGCTGTTTGTTAAAATTATAAACTGGCAAATTGAATTGACTCCAACAGAACAAACACACAAGGCAGGCAGTGTTACCTGGTCCACTGACATTAAACTGAGGGCTGTTAGGGGAAAAGCTGTTGTGTCTCTGGACTCGGCGACTTGATCGTTTTCCAGGCCATTGAATTGACAGGACTTCTGGCTTGGTTGGCCCTTGCCTTGAACAGCAGAAATAATAGTTAACCTCAATGTAATGGCTTCTGCCTCTTGCCTTAAGGAACAGATCTTCAAGCATCAGTCACAAAGATTTTCTCGGGTAGCCAAATAAGAACTTAAGGGGAAGCCTGCTGGTAATTATGCTCGAGAGACTCAAGGTATTTGGTACTACAGTATATGAGCCTAAGGAAGAGAATCTTAGGTTTTCTTTATTCTTGCAATTAAAAGTTCAAGTAGAAATTTTATCTTAATCTGTAATTTAAGAAAACCTTTTTCTCTTTGCTGACCAAACCATCAACAGAAAAAAAATATTTATAAATATGCCACTTTTCTATTTTGTTTAGTTTGATGTTTTCTTTCTTTCATCCCCCCCCCCTTTTTTTTTGAGAGGTTTTTGCTATAGGGTGCGTGTGCTTGCCAGAAAAACAGAGAAAGACAGAGAGATAGAAAGCGAGGAATCACCCTCCAGGGAGGATGGCCATACTGCAATCCCTTCTCCTCCATTCTCCTCTTGGGATCTTGGGCACGCACGCACATGCACCCGGCGTAAGTTTTAGCCACCAGGTCCAGGATTTGAACCGCGGTCGGCTACATGGGAGTTCAGCGACACAGTCATTACGCTAACTGCTGGTCCCTATTTCACCCCATTTTAAAATCAATTTAAAAAATCAAAGCTATAGGGTCAGCAGAAGGTGTAGTTGTTATGCCACTGGACTCCCACATGATCAAACGTGATTTGAGTTCTGGACCTGGTGGCTTGAAACTCATGCCAGGTGTGTGCACATGCATGCCCAAGATCCCAGGAGGATAAGGGTTTGTGGCGTGGCCATCCCCCCTGGGGGAGTGAGTTCTCAATTTCCCTCTCACTGTCTTTATCTCTCTCTCTCTCTCTCTCTCTCTCCAGCAAGCACGTGTGCCCTAATGAAAAAACTCTACAAACAAAACAAGAAAAACCTATATATCAATAAATTTTTAAAGTCAAATAATTCTATTACTCTTGTTACAACAAACAGAAGCTTCCTTTTTCCAATCCCATACTATACTCCAAATTCTTTCCCTCAAAGGCAACACTTTATATTCATTCTGGTGTTTATTTTCATATCAGTATATAGCATACTTAAATTGCTATCTCTTTAATTTTTAGTTTTAATCTTTATTAACTTCCCATTGGCTCAGAGCAATGATATATACATGGGAATGTTGTAAGGAACTTTGAAGAAGGCTGCTTAAAGGATGATTTCAACTGGAAGGAAGGAAGTCTGCTAATTTTCCTTGTTCTTCTTTTCTGGTTGGAACATGAACATGATAGCTGGCATTCCAAAACCATCTTGGATCTGAGGCAAATCTGAGAATGGAAGATGTACATTTCATATGAAAAAGACCCATGCTAAATCTGTAGTGATATGCCTTGGGCTGCCTTCCACCAGATTTCTGTATAGGCGATAGTAAGCCCTCATGTAGTTGTTACTGTATTTTTTTTTCTATTTTAATATTTTTTTTGAGAGGTTTTTGCTATAGGGTGCATGTGCTCACCAGAAAGACAGAGAGTGAGAGAGAGAAAGAAAGCGAAGCATCACCCCCTGCAAGGGGGATGGCCACGCCGCAATCCCTTCTCCTCTCCTCTCCTCTCGGGATCTTGTGCACACACACACACACACACATGCCCGGCATGAGTTTAAGCCACCAGGTCCAGGACTTGAACCATGGTCGACTAGACCAGAGTCCAGTGACATAGCTGTTATGCCAACTGCTGGTCCCTTTGTTTTCTATTATTACATGTACCAAAATCTAGTACTCATCCAAAAATCTTTATTATCTGTCAACTAAGGAAGATTTCTTCAGGTTTTCTTTTATGTTGGATTATACTACTTCATCATTTTACTACAATAGATTAAATTTTTTCCTTAACTAATTCTTTTGGTAAAAAATAAATCTCCTAATTGCTTTATAAAATAATGGCACATGGGACCAGCAGTGGAGTGGTGATTAAGGTGCTAGACTTCAAAATGGCTGCCTATGATTCGAGTCTCAGACTCAGTTGCTTGAAATCATGTTAGGAACATGTGCATGTGTGCCCAAAATCCTGAGAGAAGAATGGAGAAGGGGTTGCAGTGTAGCCGTCCTCTCTGGGGGGCAGGGGGGTGTAATTTCTCACTCTCTGTCTCTTTCTGGTGAGCACACATGTCCTTATAACAGAAACAAACATAAGAAAAAAAAAGAAAAGAAATGGTGCACAATGAAAAGTAAAATATTTGAGATGCTGCATGTATGTATAAAAATTTTTATTGGTGCTTTCATAGGGTAAAAAATTCTGTTACAAATTATTCTGAAAAAGTTGCTCTATCATGTTCTAGCTCCCAGAGTCACTTGTGAAAAATCTAGTGTTTTCTTAATCCTTTGTTTATGTTTATGACCTGGTATTCTCTATGGAAATTTTTAGATACTTGACTCTTTTTCTCCTGTATTTGAAAATTTCATAATTGTATACCTTGGTGTTAGACTTACATTATTCATTGTAATGGGCTCCTAGTTTTTTCTATCAAGCTGAAAACTCAAGTCCTTATTCTGAGAATTAAAAAAAAAAAAACATTTCTTTGATAATCTTTTTCCTTTTTCAGAAATTGCTATTTTCTGGAATTTACATTTTACAAATATTAGATTGATCCTCTAATTTATTACTTCTATCCCACCTTTCATCTCTTTGTGAAACTTGATTACACTTTTATATTTAAACCTTACTCAGAAAATTTCACTTTTAGGTTAGCATATGGCATAATGTTTATGTCACTGAACTCCTATGTAGTTGCCCATGGTTCAAATCCCAGACCCAGTTGCTTAAAAGTCATGCCAGGTGTATGTGCGTGTATGCCCAAAATTCTGAGATGAGAATGATGTAGAATGATGGAGAAGGTGCATGTGTCCTACAGCAAAAGTCTTTCTTAAAAAAAAAAAGAAAATTTCACTTTTACAATAAAAATTTCCAAGAGATACTTTGTGTACTTTGAAGAGAGAATTTTGCTATAGGGCATATATACTCACTGGAAACAGTGAGAGACAGAAAGTGAGAAATAACCTTGCAGGGGGGATGGCCCCACCTTGCAATTCCTTTTCCATTCTCCTCTCGTGATTTCAGGCATGCAGACACACACGCCCCGTGTTAAATTTTAAGCCATAGTGTCCAGGCTCTAACTGCAGTCAACTATGTAGGAGTCCAGCAATGTAACCATTATGCCTTCTGCTCATCACCGGTATTTCACTTTTAATATTGGGTCTTGCCCCCCCCCCCCGCCAGTTGTGCCACGTATATGTCTGTCACATTCTCCAGAGAACACACATCTAGGGTTCTTCAAGGATTGGGGAGGGGCAGTTCCTATAGAGCCCTGATGGAGCTTCCAACATTATATCAGACCTACTTTCACTCTCACTATCAGTTGCACAGGGTGAAGCCAATTCTTAAACTTTCTGAAGTCCATTGACACTGTTTACATTGTATCTTGGTTTCTTGAACTGCCTGCTTACTTTCAGCTTTCTCAGTGTCTCAGTGTCTAAATTAGTTTTCCTTAGATTCAGCTTCTTTCTAGGTTTCAGGCATCTGTCTCTTTGGATCTTCTTCTAGCTTTCTTATTTTTGTGACTTAATGCCTCCTTTTATCTAGGTTCTTTACCTTTTTTTGGGGGGGAGAAAGTAAAAGAAATGATTGTTCATGCCAATCTTTAACTAAATCTCTCCATGGATTTTCCTATGGCAAAAAAACAAAAGAACCTTCCAACCCTCCAGCCCCTACCCCCTGCACACACACATGCACTTTCTAGCAGCTAGGTTGATCAAAGAAGTAAAAGATTAGAACAGTCTTTTTTATGTTCCAGCTGAGTAATGTAAGCTGAATAAACTTTTATAATAACATGTAGGTAAAATTAAAGTCTCTCCTCTCTTCTGTAATAGATAACTATCAAAAGAAGAAAAATAACTTCCAAGCCCAAAAGGAATAGTTCATAGAAGAACATTGGCTATAGAATAGATAGTTATAGATAGATAAGGTATATTTAGATGAATTTGGAATATGGAAGAACTTTGGAAAATAGAGTGAACTTATAGATTCCATTATAGAAAGGAAATCCACATATAATTAAGCTGTGTTCCCAGAAATATAGTTTGTGAGGAAGAGAGGTTTATATAAGAGGACACAGGTTCTCTAGAGGGAAATTTCTGTATAATGTAATGATTATTCTTGTCACTGGCTATTAGGTACTTCAAAAAGACATGGAATTAAAGTGGCTCCCATTCAGTCAGTTTGCCAGGATAGATACAGAGCGTTGTAGAAAGCCATCTGAAAATCTCACCTCTGTGCTATTCTGGCTGTTTGAATCCGTTCTGTCTGAAATTGCCATTTTCACATGAATAGACACAGACATCTTGCCCAACATGGCATGTCTAACTCATTACTGCAGGATGAATGATACTGTGTGATTCTGCCCTGGGGCCGAAAGATGGGAAAGATGACTTCTCTAAATTTGTGATATCCCAAGGAGTCTTTGTTTCCCTAGGCTTTGCAAATATTAAATCCCAAAGTAATGTTGATGCTGAAGGGGAAACAAATGATTAAAACCCTGAAAATTTTAATATCTGCAGGTCACAACTCTTGACTTTGTAGGGGCATCATGGAATCTTCCTTTATAACAACAACAACAATGACAAAAAAACCCAAAAAACAAAAAACAAACAAACAAAAACTGATGAATTCTTAGATATATAGATTTGACCTGTCCTTGCTGAACCTGTCCTCCATTTCCTCAAGTTTTTACCACATACCATTGTTAGACTACCTTCCCTTCAACCTAGTTTTCATTACATTGCTCTTTTGTTTACAGTTGTCAATGACAGCCTCTGATAGAATGAAGCTGGAATGCATCTGTCTAGCTTTTAAGACATTTCTTAGCCCCAGTCGCCAGTTAGAGTGGTCTTCTCACAGACCCGAATCCTCACCTACTGCTCCTATGTAGGATTCATTTTACTTGGAATTACTTATCTTCCATTGAGTTTAATATATTTAACATCCAGTTATACCTAACAGAGGAAAACAACGCAAAGTTCCTGCCATCTAGAATCTCAAAAGCTAGCGTAGCAGATAAACACATAAGGGGCTGTGATGAGTAGGTAAAAGTAGAGAGCACTACGGAAGAACCTCGTGATGGAGGGGGAGGAACAAAATCCTTTTCTGAGAGCAGTGAAGGCTTTTCAGAGAAAGTACTGTCCAGTGACAAAATCATTTAGGAGGAGTTAGCCAGATGATTGATGAGTGATATGTGGTGAGTCAGGAGACCACATGCTTCAGAGAGATTAGTATTCTGATATTCAAATCCATCCTAAAAGTACAATTCAGGACTTATTTCCCCATAAGGCTTTAACACTGGCCTCTTGACTGATATCACAGAAAATGAACAGCTTTCTTTACTCTGTCTTGTCTTCAGTGGTAAGAGTCCTGGGGCTCTCCTGACTTTGGATTTTGGTGGCCTGCTGATAGGAGATATACCTTAGGAGAGGAGACAGAGCTCCTTTAAGTTGATGTCTTATTTATATACTTTAGTCTGGTTCATCAGAGATTTCACAATTAATGTAAATAGAGGACATACACCCATAGTAGTGCCTTGCTTTCTATTTTTTTAAAATGTCTTTCCTTAGGAACTTTCCAGGAGAAATATCACATATTTGGGGTGGGATCTGGGTATTCCTTGGTACATTAGTCGAATATGATACAATAGTACTCCTCAAACTGATATCAGACCTGTAATATTTCCCACTATTTCAAACCATTTTTGAACTGGAAGTCTAGAAGTAAAAGGCTCATTAATCCTCTAGTGTCTTATACTTTCCTAGACTCTGTCTTATCATGCTCCTTCTCATTAAACACAGCTGCTGTGTAGCTGTTGGCAGCACAAGAGTTCAAGGCTAGCCTGTGGCCTAACACAAAGAACAGTTCATTAAACATTCACTGTATGGTGTTGAATGCAGTGTGCACATTTGCAGGAGATAACTACATTAAAAAAAAAAAAAGTGCAGGTGAAGAAGGGAAACAGAATGTGTTCTCAAGTCTCTCCTCAGGTGGCAAATGTTGATTCTAAAAATGGAGAATTCATTTTAATTCCAGAAAGTCTGAACAAAAGAAACAACAAAACGGATCTCATTTTCTCATTAAGAACATGAAATCAATTTCATTGTGCTCCAAGACATTCTTTACTCAAAGTTGAAGAACTAAGTTGTTGCTTTTCTAAAGCTAATTGTTATACTTTCCCATTTGATATGGAATCACTCAATGTGGTAAAAATAAAAAGTATGTAATGTGAAGAATACTGCACAAATCCATTGAAGAGTGCATCAGCTGTGCAAGCTCATTAGTTCTGGAATTATAGGCTTTTTTTTTTTTGGTTAGAATTTAGTGGTGTTCATTTATTTTGACATTAGAAGTACATAGTTGAAAGTTCTGTCTTTTTGAGATGTACTAATAATTATGTATTCCTTAATTTGTTTACAAAAATTGGTTCATTTGAGTAGTCTATTATCAACCTATTCAAAAGACTTAGTGTAGTTCTCCCTAATTTAAAATGCAAAAGTTAAATAAGGCAAATCTACAAGTTTAAAGAAACACATAGGCCATGTCAGAAGAGCAAAAAATTTGCCAAGTCCTTCTCCAGGTTGCAAGGTATGAATAATGACAACTTTTAGTTGGAATCACTTTGATGACTGCTTTACAAATTTATAGTACAGATAAAGCTACTATAATTATCACCACTTTTTTTTTCTCAACGGTACCTATTGGTAGCATTGAATTTTGCAATCATTTATATCACTTATTTTTATCCATTTCCATAAATAGTTAGACCTATTGAATTCTCAAGTCTCCTAGTAAATCCAGGTTCACTTACTCTATAAGTCTCTTTCCCATCATTTCCATATTTTTAAATTGTACCTACTTGCAAGGCAAGCTCAAATGTCACAGAGAAATCCTGTGAAATTGATATTTATCCTTTTGTTCATTTTTTTTCATCTTTTAGTCTTTTGAGACCCATTGGCAATTATTTCCCTTACTCCATTTACCATGTTTTACCTTGCCTTCTTTAGGCTTAGCATTATGTTAAGTGTATCTTTACATCATCCACAATGTCTTAAAGAAGACTTCTATATCTATTAAATTCTTAATTCCATAAGCACATTATAAAAACATTATATGAAAACACTTAAATTGCCTTTCTTGGCGAGTTTGCTCCTCAGTAGTCTCCATAGCACATTCCAGAGAATTCTGAAGAGACTGCAGCTGATTCAAGGTCTCCTTCAATAAAAATCGAGTTACAAATTGTTCCAAATTGGAGGCTTCTTGATAGTCCTAAAGGTAACAAAACAAATGCAAAAATTACCAGGAGTAGTTTTCCTCATACACTCATCAATCTTAGATTAATCTTAGATATAATGGAGAGAGGAGAAAAGATGTGTGAGACCCTGAAGCTGCAACAGAGTTCTTTCCACTCACTAGAAATTGAATAAAAAAGCTACAGAAATGCCTGGAATCATCTTGCATTGCACCTGCCTTGAGATTAGGGAAAAATACAAAACTGAGCAGAATTATGAACTAGACATTTGTAGAAAAGGAAAAATTGGGGAAAAAATTAAAGTATTTATTTAAATGACTATGCCATCATATATTTTCTCTATTACCAGCAAAATACAGTCACGTTTCAGCAATTGGCTTAATTCCCCCTTGATGTATTCATTATGCCTGATCTGTATTATGCTGAGGCCAAAGAAAATTATGTGTAGTTATTTTAAAATTCAGGAAATGTTAGGTTTGGAATATATAAACAGTTTACTAAATCCAGTTTTGTCTCACGCCTAGTAATTGTATCTGAAGCTTATTTGAAACTAACTTCTAGGATAACACCTCAAGCCACGAATGCTCTATTCATTCAGATAGCCTTGGGTCCACACAGAGATAATTACGGACTTACTAGCTATCCTTGTGAAACCAAGCCAAGTAATTGGATAAATTGTTAATGGTATTATATGCTACTTTTGTCTTCCAAAGTCTCACAGAGAACCAAGAAAGAAAATGTGGTCCATGTGGAATGAAATGGTGTCAGAACCACTCTTCCAGTCATGGGAACAGAAAGCTAAATTTGAGGTTTTTTTTTTTTTTTTTTTTTTTTTTTTTAAGATTTTTT